AGCCTCCGTGTCTACACTATTCTCCGTGTTGTACACGAGAATAAGACCACTATTTTTGACAATAAGCAAGGCAATAAACATGATAACGCTCAGAATCATCGCCATTTATATCAACTCGACGATAATGATTGAATGGGTGTTAACCATATCTATGTAGTAAGGAATCACTCTCGATTTTATTTGACACTTTCTTTTTATCTTCTCTCTTTAAATAATAACCAGAATCGGATTCTTTTCTCGTAGTATTCAGTGTAATGATCACGTCAAAAGTAAAATATTGGTTACCAAACAGTAACTATCACGTCCGTGGTTTCATGATCATTCAAGCACGTTCATTTATTTGCCATCACGATTAGTATATACAAATCATCTTGTCACGATCAGAATAGCAATGTAATAAGGAAAAATCACGTACATCTGCCGAAGGAACTTCCCTAAGCTTCTTTCTAGCCTTGGGTGTGAGTGTGGATGGGTGTGAGTGTGGATGGGTGTGAATGTGGGTGGGTGGATGTGGGTATGGGTGTGGGTGTGGGTGTGGGTGTGGGTGTGGGTGTGGGTGTGGGTGTGGGTGTGGGTGTGGGTGTGGGTAGGTGAGCTTGGGTGGATGGATGTAGGTTTGTATCTATGATTGATCTGATCAAGCAGACACTCAGCGACACAGTCACACCCTACAAAGACACCCATGAAGAAGATTAGTTTTAGTGGTCGAACGAAACTGATACAACTGACATGAGCTTTTATTCAATGGCTTAAGTCTCTTTTTCAAAAATATTCAAAAACCGAAAAATATGGAGGATTATATTATAATTATTCACAGAAACAACTTCGAATGTTGTACTATTCATTGTTCGGAAAAAGACTGGAACATGAAGTAATTTGTATGTTCATTTTCAAACTGTGTAAATTATTATAATATAATATGAGTAATATTAAAAAATATTACACAGATCCCAAAACAAACTACTCTTGACATGAAATCATACTTAATGTGTATTATTTTTATTAGTAATAAGTTTAAATGAAATAATTTTCTAATGTCAACAGGTAGATAGCGCTAAAAATATCATTTAATTATGTCGACGAATCTTATTATATTTCGTCCCGAAATTTGATTCTTGTTGTGTAGTAAAATCAAATAATATATTCAACAAAATGTATGTCGAATACAAATACTGCTTGTCGTCGTATTTGTTGTTGTCGAAAGTCAAAACTGCGTCCTACTGCAACAACAATAATCAACAATGAATCTTCATCATCACCAAAAGATAAGAAAATGTCGAATAATCAGTCAATAAACGAAATCATGTCAACATCAAATTTTAACGATGAAATTCAAAGCGATATTGATTTAGATCGTTTAACAAAGCAATGTCTCGAAACAATAAATGAATATCGTTTTCAACTAGGATTTTCATCACTTAAACTTTCTTCGGAGCTTACTAATCGAGCACTTGATCGAGCGACACAATTATCAGTTCAAAATTATATAGAAAACACCACTCAATTTGATCTTGTTCATAATAATGAACCTATCGGCGAAACGTATGAAAAATTCAAACAATATTTTCACTATGTCTTTTATTTTATAGAGTCATGTCTTGTCAAGCACCGGCCAATGATGGTTCAGATATTGCTAGATTAATTCATGATGAACTTATTGATGATTTTGAAAATGGTCAATCGTCGAAAGTAAAGAAACGATCAATAGATCTACTGATATTTATTTTCTGGTTCTTTCAGATACGTTACACACCAATATTAAATCCCGATTGTAAATATATTGGCTTTGGTCTTGTTCGAAATGAAGAGAAAACAAAAGATTATATTGTTATTTATTATTATCCAGTCAAAGAAAATGAAGATTATATTACAAAATAACTGATGTAAATCGTTGTACATAGAAATCAAATAGTTGAGATACAGAATCATTTGTTTTTTTAAATAATTGTCGTAAACATTGAAGTAAAGTTACATGTACAAGATGATATGAATAAGAAGCTGTATTTATTTTTGATTTCATTGTTATATGACTTAAATCATAGATAGACCAATTTGAAATATTTGGATGAACATAATATGGAAGCATATGTTCTAGTGAAATAATTATTTGATTTATTAATTCAGATAAATATGGTTGATAATCAATTGTATTAGCATCGATGATACCAATTAAAGCATAAAGACATCCATTAAGAACAAAAAGACCTTTCGTTGCTGATTCTAATGGATATTCTTCAAGCCAAACAAAACGATTGTTAAAATAAGCTCGAGTCAGATTTGATGACCATAAAGGTTGAATAGCTCGACGAATAGCTAACAAATGTTCCTTATTATTTGTTAGTGAATATAGACGAACGAGTAATGATGCAGCTTGACCTAAATTTAGAAGAAAAATAGTAGTTAATAATTTTTTTATACCAACAAAATTAACCTTGTGCCATTGCTGAACACCATGGATTTCGTAAATGATAGTGAGTATGATGAGCATAGTTTCGTTGAACATGAATAAACCAACAACCTGTTTGTAAATCTTGATTATTTAATAACCATCGTGTTGCTGAATAAAAAGCTTGTTGATCATACAAAGTTTGATTACCAATAATTAATTGATCAACACTAGATTGTGTATCACCACAAATTTGAATTTTGATGAAATCATGTCTGAAAAAAGGTGTTTTTTGCATGAGTTTTTCTATGTCAATTAGCATATATCGATTGACTTGACGAGGAGAACCCTTAAGTTGAATAATTTTCTTTGTTAAAGTTTCTAAATCATGAATTGTTTTCGTTGAACAAACAAGTTCAATATTATTATTGAAAAAATGGAAATGTAATGAAGAATTTGATGAAATTGTAAAATGAATATATGTATTCGAAAGCAATATTTCATCTTTCATTCTATGCCATGATGAACAATAATTATTTTCCTCTAAATAAAGATACTAGTACATTTCAAATATAAAGTCATAAAACCTCACTTGGGTGTAGTCGTTCGAATTTATATATTTTATTTTGTTGTTTTTTTGAATTCAGTTCTAATCGACTCCAATGACTTAAGCCATATTGAGCAATTTGTATTGGATAAAGATGTCCATCCGATTGCCATTGAGATGAAACAGGTATATCTAGAAATTGTAGTCAAAACTTTGATTGATACTGCATGCGAGAACCTACCATATAAAAAATCGATATATAATACTCGATTACGTTGTTCAACATTGAAATAAGCAAAATTAAGATATGATCCACGAGAATTATATGTAAAAGATGATGAAAGTATACGATAAGTGTAGTTTTGATAATGAATGAGCTATTCGACGTAGAAATAGAAAGATCACTAATGAATGATTACTTACTGTAAAAGGTGATTGAGAGTATGATAATATAGGATTTATGTTATATGTTCGATAAAATAGAAATAAAGAAATACTTAACGATAAGATATAGTTTAATCGACGAAAACGACATCGCATATCTAAGAAATAAAATCAACTTTTAGCACTTTTCAAAGGCTTTGGATCATCTTCAAACTAAAAGATGACTCATTCAGTATATGGTTATAAGAAAAAGAACTTGTTTCTTTAGAAGGATATTTAATAGTTATGTTCAATTTTAATTACAAAGTTAACATATTTACGCATAAAATCTATGAGAAACACAAAAGAGTGTAATTTACATGAATAAAAAAAGGAACAAGAAAATCTATAGAAATATCAAACTTAAAAATGTATTAATAATAAAAGAAATCTATTCTATTTGATGATATTTGTCTAAAGCATATTGATATAGTTCAGAACATTGTTGAGTTCGTAATGGTTTCCAATGTTCATATAGGTTTTCATCCGAATATTCTTTATATAAACGTTTTAATTTGTCTTTTTTCTTTTCTGATCTATTGATTGATGCACGACGATGTTTTGATTTCAATTTTCGACGTTGATATCTTTCTGATTCTTTATTAGAAGATGTTATTACTTGTCGATCAGAAGATAATGAGCGACTTTGACTTTGTGAAGATACAGATAAATTATGTTGTGGTTGTTTAATTTCAGTTGTTAATTCACTAGTATGATGTGATGAACGAGGTTTGAAAAAAGGATTAATATAAATTTTAATTGTATTGACTGTTGGTTCTTGTGAATATAATAACTCATGATTAGAAACTAGAAATCAAGAAAAAATAAATGTTACGATTATAATTATTTGTTGAATAATTTAGAATTGATGTTGAGTTTGCATCATACTGGTAATTATAATAGAGTTGATCAGTAGTATATGCTGAAAACGTCGATGGTTCATAATAATATTCATGAAAATATAGATTTGATGATGTAGATGATATATTCATGAAAAGATAAAATTAGAATATGGATAATAATCGATAGTTTCTTTACTATTCTCTTTAGATAGTAGATAGATAGATATATGTATGCAGGGTATTTTTCTTTTAATTCAATAGATGACGCTGATCGAACTTTTGAATAACGTCAACAACAATATAGTTGAATTAAATTCTATATTAAAATTCTTTCTACAAAAAAAAAGATCTTCGTTTACAAGATAAAAATCAGTCAAAAGAAAAAATATAAATTAATTAGGAACAGCTTCGATGATTGAAATTGGTGTTTGTGTATAATGTAATTGTTTTAGTTGAAAACCACCTTGTTTTAAAAGATATTCATATTGGTATTGTGTACGTTCTTTTGCACCTAACATTACCATCATATGCATATCGATACTATGTGCAATATTATTAATATTTTTATTTTGTTCATTTTCTGGTAATATAACAAATTCAATAAGAAATAATGTCACTTGTTGTTCATTAGCTGCTTTTCGAATAGCTTTAAAAATATCAATTGCTCGCTGATCATTCCAATCGTGAATGATATTTTTCATAATATAAGCATCAGCTTGTGGAATTGTCGTTGCATCAAACATATCTCCACTAATAAATTGATATCGATCTTTTGATATATTCTGTTTGTCAAATTCATTTCCAAGTTTTGTTTGTTGAATTGTTGTATATTTTTTGGATTTAATTCCCCAATAAAGTAAATATCGAGTTTTACTTGGATGATCCGATATCAAAAGACGGCCATGTTCAGTTAATTTGAAACGATTTGTTTTTTTCCGGTTCAATTGTTTGATCAGATTTTACTATTGCATTGCAAAAATTCTGTAATTAAGTTTCATTTTCGTTTTCTTCTGTCAGACATTTATTTTAGTTTCACATTGTTTAATATTATCTCTGAATTATATGTGTAAACTATTATTTATTCATATCTTTAATAGTGTACCATCATGTATGATTATGTGATCGATTTCTACCTTCGACTAGCACATGTAATAAAAAAAATTCCGTTCTTTTTTTGTTAGATTCTGACTAATATAAAAAAGCTTCTACCGGTTAATAACCGATTTATAGTATAGTAAAGGATGATCAGTCTAAAAGTTACTGTAATCATTCTTTTTCAGTATGTATTTATACAATAAAATTATACTCGCATAAATTTTAGTATTTATATAATAAAGTTGGTTTTATTGTTGAATCAAACGCTTTAAAAACAACTGTCGCGACCGAGTATCTACTGTAAAGTTACTGGTAATCTCAACAGGATTCTCTCTCATACTGATCAATACCATTGAGAGACAACATGTTGCAAGCCGGAGTATGTACTAGTTTCACAATACATTCACACCTTGAATTTCTATCATATTCCGATAAGCCTGTTTTCATAAAACACAAATCGTTCGATTGTAGTTCTAATACATAAAAGATATATGTTCTATCAGTTAGTGATGCAGGAAATAACATCCGATTTCTAATTCACATTACATATATAAAACCACTGCAGAAACATAAAATAGATGCAAGCACATCTATACCACAAAATCTTGAGAAGTTCAGCAAAACCACAACAATCAAAATTGTTTTAGCACTATCAGACCCTTTTGTCACTCGGAACGATCTTTCACAATTTCACTACTATTATAAAAGCCTCTCTTAGCTAAACTCAAATTAAAAGAACCTTTTAGAATTCAACTACTGTTATACAGCATTTCAGCTTCATCCTACACGAGCTGCGAACTAAAAAATTAGTTCTGCAAAAGTTCTGCTTTTTCACAGCCGCAGCATCCCTGTTATCCGATATCAAACATGCGTAACGAACATTATAAGTACAATACAGGTTGACTTTGGAAACAAGCACTTTTATTAACTGATTCTGTCAAAATTATAGCACCAGAGAACACTCCCATGATCAAGGTTGGCGATTTTTTCGGCATCCAAATATATTTAATATCACCATTCACGGTTTTCTTGCTCTTTCATTGCGTTCAAGAAGTTTCTTGATTTTCCTCTCCACATCTACCCCAATTCTTCTACCCCAGAAGAAGTTTAGTGTGGTGAGTGTCTACATAACAAAATGAAGGTAAAAACATGATATCCACAAAAAGAAAATGACAGTTACTGTATTGTATTGTAATGCATCTGCTAAATATTGTGCTCCAACATTACCAATTGCATTTCCCGTCAGATTCAGTGTAGTGAGTGTCTAGATGTAATAGCAGAGGTAAAGATATGGTATATAAAAAGAGCGAAAGAGACTTACTTTGTTGCGTTGTAATGCATCAGCGAAATATTGTGCTCCAACATCTGGGATTCCATTGTTGTAGAGATTTAGTGTAGTGAGTATCTAGATAAAAAAGTAATGATAAAAGCATGGCATAGATAAAGAGAGAATGAGACTTACAGTGTTATTTTGTAATGCATCAGACAAAGACTGTGCGCCAACAGCTCCGATTTTATTTCGCTCGAGATTGAGTGTGGTGAGTTTCTAGATGAAATGAAGAAAAATGCATGCCATTGACAAAGAGAAAATGAGAGTTACTATGTTCTGTTGTAATGCATCAGCCAGATATTGTGCCCCAATATTTCCGATTTGATTTCCGTAGAGATCTAGTGTAGTGAGTGTCTAGATGAAAAGCGTCACGTAAAGACACGATATAGATAAAGCGAGAATAATAGTTACCGTGTTGTATTGTAAGGCATCAGCCAAATGTTGTACTTCAACATCTCCGATATCATTGTAGGAGAGATCTAGAGTAGTGAGTGCCTAGGTGAAAAACTGGTGATAAAGGTTTAATCTAGATAAAGAGAGAATGAGAGTCACTGTGTTGCGTCTTAATGCATCAGCCAAATATTGCGCTCCAACATCTCCGATATCATTGTAGGAGAGATCTAGAGTAGTCAGTGTCTAGGTGAAAAACTGGTGATATAGACATAGCACAGATCAAGAGAAAATGAGAGTTACTGTGTTGCGTTTCAGTACCCCCGTGAAATATTGTGCTCCAACATCCCCGATTCCATTCAGTTCGAGATTTAGTGTAGTGAGTACCTAGATGTAAAAGTGGAAGTAAACACATGGTATAGGTAAAAAGAGAATGAGAGTTACCCTGTTGCGTTTTAATGCATCAGCCAAATATTGTGCTCCGATATCACCGATCTTGTTCCGATAGAGATATAGTGCAGTAAGTGCCTAAATAAAAAAGTAATGGTAAAAACATGGCATAGATAAAGCGAGAATGTGAGTTACTGTATTGTTCTGTAATGCATCAGCCAGATATTGTGCTCCAACCTCACCAATTTGATTGTATTTGAGATTGAGTGTAGTAAGTGTCTAGATGAAAGTGGAGGAAAATATGTGATATACATAGAGAGAATATAAGAGTCACTGTGTTGTATTGTAATGCATCAGCCAAATATTTTGTTCCATCCTCTTCGATTTTATTCCGTTCGAGATTTAGTATGTTGAGTTTCTAGATGAAAAGGTGATCGGAAATACATGGTATAGACAAAAAGTAAGTGTGAGTTACTGTGTTATGTTGTAGTGCATCAGCCAAAGATTGTGCTCCAATCTTTCCGATTTCATTGAATCCTAGATTTAGTGAGGTGAGTGTCTAGATGAAAAAGGGAAGGGAAATGTATGGTATAGATAAAGAGTGAATAAGAGTTACTGTGTTGTGGTGTAATGCAGCAGCTATATATTTTGCTCCGACATCTCCGATTTCATTGTGGTAGAGATCTAGTGTCGTGAGTATCTAGATGAAAAAGTGGAAGTAAAGACATAGTATAGATAAAGAGAGAATGAGAGAATGAGAGTCACTGTGTTGTGCTGTAATGTACCAGCCAAATATTGTGCTCCAACCGTCCCGATTTCATTGAATCCTAGATTTAGCGTGTTGATTGTCTATATATAAAAGTGAAAGTAAACACATGGCATAGATAACGAGAGAATGAGAGTTACCGTGTTGCATTTTAATGCATCAGCCAAATATTGTACTCCAACATCACCGATCTCTTTTTGATAGAGATCTAGTGTAGTGAGTATCTAAACGAAAAACTGCAGATAAAAACACGATATGGATGAATAGTTGGTCAGTGTTATTTGGAGTTAGAGCAGTGAAACAAAATGCTGTTCTGACCTCCCGGACGCATTTGATTCATCAGTTTCTCTTCTATATTCGTGACCGACACATGCCCGCTGTGCATATACATACACATAGGTCACTCCTTATTATCTCACCTTTCTTGACCGTTTCGCATGACTGGCGATAGATAGTCGTTCATTGTTCATTCTTATCTCTTCATTTTCATTCGGTTAAATAAAGCACGAACGATCAGAAATTTCGTTACAAACTCTTCCTAGGGCTTATGGATCGCAATATGATTATTTGAAGGAATTTATATGCTGCAAAAAATGGGATCATATTTTCTGATAATCTAGACGAAAAAGGAGTTACTAAGGTTGAAGGATGTTGAGATATGTTTATATGTGAGTTTCTGTAGGTTTCAAATGCTTTTAAAATAAGAAAAAAATTCTCTTGAAAGAATAATTATTTGTAAATTTATTCTGAGTAATTCAATTGTGTAGGTTTCGTATTACGCATAAAAAGCGTAGTATATTATTTAGGCATGACAAAAGATAGTTTCTTGCCAGTAGGTGATAGAGGAGTATTATCATGCTTCTTGATGAGACTCGATATGTGATTTGCATGAGAACTCTATGCGCGTTGCCTAAGTGGGTTGTATACATAAAACAGAATTGGTTTATAGAAATAACCGAGGCATAGAGTTTATTGGATAATGTCAGTCCGATAGTGAGTGAAAAATGAATATGTGCTAAAACGTCGA